GTTACCTCCCGATATTCGGTATTTTGATGATGTATGCCACATTTTTTCGCGGATTTGTCTGAAAATTGGTATTTGTAGGTCAAAACGGGTACCAGTTCATGTGGCGAGACATTGCATGTATAGCTCCACCCTTTGGTATAGCCCCCATATAAAGATACCTCCCGATGTTCGGTAATTTGAGGGTTTTTGCCACATTTTTTCACGGATTTCTCTGAAAATTGGTAGTTGTAGGTCATAATGAGTCCCAGTTCATGTGGCGAATCATTGTAATTATAGGTCCACGTTTTGGTATAGTCCCCATATAACGGTACCTCCCGATATTCGGTATTTTGATGATTTTTACCACATTTTTTCACGGATTTTTCTGAAAATTGGTAGTTGTAGGTCATAATAGGTTCTAGATCCTTTGGCGAAGCACTGTATGCATAGGTCCACGTTTTTGTATAGCCCCATATAGCCGTATTTCCCGATATTCGTTATTTTGATGATTTTTGGCTCATTTTCCCATGAGTATGTCTAAAAATTGGTATATGTGGGTCATAATGGGCTCTAATGTTTCCTTAATGCCGTAACGTGGAGTTTGGCCCGGTCGAACTTAAAGATTTTTTTACTTGTTTTTTACCAGCATTCTCAAAAATAGCCAGATTCCTCAAAATATTATTAACTGCAATGGAAAACATTGTCCAGGATTCATTGGAAATAGACCTCCTGACACGTTTACGGTTGTCAATTAAAATGGCTTTTCATTTCGCTGGAAAGTATTTCGAAATCATTCAATTACTTCTTTTAATGATGACAATAAGCGGCAATCGTTGTTGGTTTATTGTGACCCGCTTCACTGCACGCCACCAATCCCTCCCACCCCTTTCTAAAGATTTATTTTCAGCTAAAAAGCCAATTAAAAAATGACACTTGCTGAGCACAAAGGCTTCGCTGAAACCTACATTGCCCGATTGCCACTCGCCGTCTGGGCTTGTTAAAGTCGCCATAGCTATGAACAACAGTGTATTTCCGGCAAGCTAAGGACAACAACAACAAGTGTAGGAATGGCGATGAACATAATTTACTAGGCGTTGTTCAACACAATGATACTCTACCACCCACACACCCATACACTCGCAAACATATCGCATTACAACAAACTGGGATGAAAAGAAAAAACGAGAAACCAAAGAAGAGACGCACACACGTACACACACACACACACACACACTCGAAACTTTTGAAAAGTAAATTCAAAGGCACAAAGAAAAGAAGCCATGTGCCCAGGTGAAACTTTTTAATGTATTTATTTGATGATGGTATTAAACTCCATTATATGGGGAGGTTTCATTCTGTAATTCTTTGCCACTTCTTTGTGATTCTTGTTCATTTTTTTTGCTTTTGTTATTGTTGTTGTGTAAAAACTACTGTTAACCCAGTCGTTAGTTAGTTAGTTAGTTGTAGTAGGACAATTTAAGTAACGCCCTCTGTGTGCGTATGTAACAGCATTTAATCTTGATTGCAATCCTTAGATATGCCATTTAGTACCCTTTGGAATTTTTTACATGCAGATTTAAACAGGGTGTACCAAAATGAATTCAAGGAATTTTTTTCTACACCATAAGAACTTAAAATACCTAAATTTTACGAAATTAAATGGGAAACATGGCAAAAACTTAAAAAAAACATCTTAAATCGGAGTTATCCTTCCATGGGGGCTATTCCAAAAAGTGGACCGATAAGACCCGTTTTTTGTATCAATGATTCTGGTTTTAATCCAAAGATCTCTATCAAATTTCAAACCTCTAGCTTAAATGTTGCAAAATACAGGGTGAGATGAAAAAAATGCAACCAAATTCAGACTGCTGTCATTTCTAAGCCACACGTCCGATAGCTGTTAAAATTATTCCTGTGACAGCTCATTATATACGTGTCGTAGTGACAGAAAAATGTCTCGTGAGCTGAACATATCGCAATATTCCATTCGGCAAATAATGAAAAGTGATCTCGGGCTGCAGTCATTGAAATTCCAAAAAAGTGCAAGAACTTACACCGCAACAGAAAGAAAATAGTCTCAAAAGAGTTGTTTCGCTTGGCCGAAAGTGGTGAACTGCCGAATTTAGTTTTCTCCGATGAGGAAACATTCATTGTCCAGCAGTTTGTAAACAAACAAATGATCGTGTTTTCTTGCCAAAGAGGTCCGCTGATAATGTGCACCTTTGGTTGGCCACCAGATCTCAAGCGCCGTCCATGGTGATGATGTGGGCCGCCATAACAGCCGATGGTCGCTCTCCGCTCGTATTAATCGACCGTGGCATCAGAATAAATGGCGAATATTATAGCGAAAATAGTCTGGAGGGTGTATTAAAGCCTTGGCCACGCAAACATTTTGACCACAGACCTTCTACATTCCAACAGGACTCAGCACCATCGCACTCAGCACGCGCCACCCAAGAATGATTACCAAATTAGGTTCCTCGCTTCATTTCCAGCGCACAATGGCCATTAAAATCTCCGGATACCAATCTGTTGGACTATTGTGTATTTTGGAAAGCAAGGTTGGCATAAAAAAATACCAAAGTGTCGATCACCTCAAGCAAGCGCTTCGCGGGGAATGGGCCAAAATACCGCAGATCAACATTCGGGTAGCGTTTGACGGTGTCATTGAAGGCCATAATTCGTGCCAAAGTGACCAAGTAGAACAAATCTTAACTTATTCTAAAATTTGATGCTAATTCCGACCTTTTTATACCCTCCACCATAGTATGGTGCACATTTTAGACCCCACATTTGGTATGGTGTACATTTTAGACCCTACATTTTAGACCCCACAAAGTATATATATTCTTGATCAGCATAAAATTCTATGTCGATTTAGCGATGTCCGTCCGTCTGTGGAAATCACTCTATCTTCCGAACGAATTGAAGTAGATTGATAAAATTTTACTCAATCGTATATTATGTCTGCAGGACTTTTGGTATTGAAAACGGGCCATGTAGGTCCACGTTTTGGTATAACCCCCATATAATGGTACCTCCTGATATTCGGTATTTTGATGATTTTAGCGATATTTTTCACCGGAATGGTTTCAAATTTGGTATTTAAAGTTCGTAATGGATACTACAGCCAAAGACAGAACATTATCTGTACAGATTCACGTCTTCGTTTAGCCCCCATATAACGGTACCTCCCGATATTCGGTATTTTTTAGCTACTTTATTCACTTTTTTTTTTTTTTTGTTTTTTCTTGTTAGTTTTCGCATTTGAATATTGTAATGGCTTATGACAAATGTTACCTTTGCAGGTTAATGTCGTCGTATAGACCCTAATGTTACAGCTACATTCGGTATTTTTACGATTTTAACATAATTTTTAACGAATTTTGTTTTTGAGAACTGCCAAATTCGTTCCAAATGGTGGAGGGCTTTTTTTCTTGTTTACTTTCAATCAATAAAATTAAAAAAAAAAAATAAAAATATGGCGTTTGACTTTGTTGCTGTTTTTTATGTACTGTACTTGTACTTACCCTGTACTTTCTGCTGGAGCAATATCGTTTTTCTATTTAACTATTAAAATGTATTTATTAATATTCCAATGGACATTTCTCAATTGTTACAAAAATAAACTGACAAATTTCCAATTAACTTCTTCTAAGCAAACAGTGCCTTTTTTCTTGCACTACTGATGCCTCTTCTTATTGCAATACTGGTTTTCACTCTCAAATTCTATTTCTTTTTTAATTCACAACTCTCTTTCTCTCTGTTTTGTTATTGTTGCTGTACTTGCTCTAATGATATTAAAGCAAGTGACAACGGCATTCTTAACCAATTGTTGTTGTTTTTTTCGACAATTAGCATAACAAGAGAAAGAGAGTAACAAAGGGGGAAGAATGACAAGGAGCACTGTTTATGTGGGGTATGTTCAGTAAATGCTAGAGTGATGTTGCTGTAGCATTCCTCACACAAAAAACGGTATCTCCGTTTTTCATAGAAAATCTGTTATTTTTATACCCTCCACCTTGGAAAGGAGGGTATGTTAACTTTGTCATTCCGTTTGTAACATCCCTAAATATTCGTCGTAGACCCCATAATGTATATATATTCATAATCAGCATAAAATTTTAAGACGATTTAACGATGTCCGTCTGTCTGTCTGTTGAAATCACGATACAGCCCACATTATTTGACGCAGAGCGTCAAAATTCAGCAGAATAATTTGTATTGTGTCTAGGATGGTTGGTATTGAAAATTCGGTCAATTCGTTTTGGTATAGTCCCCATACAACGGTACCTCCCGGTATTCGGTATTTTGATGATTTTTGCCACACTTTTACACGGATTTGTCTGAAAATTGGTATTTGTAGGTCATAATGGGTCCTAGTTCGTGCGCCGAAACATTGTATGTATAGGTCCTCTCTTTGGTATAGCCTCCATATAACGGTATCTTCCGATATTCGGTATATTTTTATGGTTTTTGTCACATTTTATCACGGATTTGTCTAAAAATTGGAATTTGTTGGTCATAATGAGTTCTAGCTCCGTTGGCGACATATTGTATATGTAGGTCCACGCTTTTGTATGACACTGTATAGCGGTATCTCCCGATATTCGGTATTTTAATGATTTTTGCCAAATTTTCCCACGAATATATCTAAAAAAATGGTATTTGTGGGTCATAATTGGTTCTAGTGTTTCCATTACCCTAAGGTGGAGGATATTAAAAGTTCGTCCCGGACGAACTTAATGCTTTTTTATTTGTTTTAAAAATCATTTGAATTATATTTGTTTAACACCACCGGAGTTACCCTGTATCTACACAAAATCACCTTCTTGACAATCTTTATTTGCCATCTATTCATGGCTAGTTTAAGTTTTATTGTATTCCGTCCACTGCCGGCTTCATTGTGTGCAGTGCTTTATTGAACGATTTCTTATTATTTTTTTTTGTCAACTTCTTTGATTGCCCTTTCATTCCTTTTCTCATTCTTTTCCATTTTGTTTTTTCTCCATTCAAAACAGGTAATACAATTCTCTCTATGGCACGCTTATGTCCATGAGCAATATGGTCGGATGTACAAGTACTTGCAGAAACTTTGCGATGAGAAACGTAATCGTGAAAACTTTGAGGAACTCTATTTAATTGCGGGAGCCCTAAAATATGAACATTTGCAAGCGGTGGTGCAGCGTTTGACAGTGTCAACCTTTCCCCATAGTTATCGGTTGTTTTAAATTGTCGTCGCAAGTGGGGGAGGAGGAGGAGAAGGAGTAGAGGAAGGCGAGAGAAGTGCAAGTTAGCTAAAAAGTAATGGAGAGATAGTCGTTGTGAAGTAAAGTGGCTGCGAAAAGGATGCCACACAAACCCCCAAAAAAATATCTACATAATCAAAAAACCACCCGACAAGCAAGGAGTTGCTTCTTGGCCATCTAACCAACCAACCAACATGTCCTTAGAAACCACTTTAAGAACAACAAGTACCATAATAATAACAGCAGCAACAACAACATTATCATCATCACTGCGAACAACCGAAACATGAAGAGTAACACCAGCAACAGTGGTGACAACACCAACACAAACAACAACTACAGCAATAAACAACCATATAACAACTAATTCTATTTACGCAAAGGCTTTGCGTCATTGTGATCATCAATGTGGCACAACAATCTGCAGGAAGCAGTAAACCAACAAACATGTCCTCCATCCTTTAAGTTCTTCCTCCATTGGTACCATTGCCACAATTAAGTTTGTATTCTAAGCCAATGCACAGCCATCTAAACAAATAACTTCATGGAAACCCTCTGCAACACAACCTCCTCCAATGTCTCTCCTGGTACTGGCAAAAGACAACATGGCGTTAAAACTATTAAGAATGTTGACTTCATTCTTTAGTTATATTAAAAGTTTTGTGAATATCAAATGAACTTATTTTTATTCAACTTGCCACTCACTGCGAGTCGCCTCACTTGTACTTTTGTTGTGCCAACAACTTTCCACTTGGCAGGCTATGCCTTAAACCGGGCTCAAACACCCTCACACATAAACGCCACAAACATGGGACATTGTTTTACTTTGGTTTTCTGATTTTATTTTCCTTTTGCCCCCCATTTGTTGGTGAACTTTTCCCCTCCCTCCTCCAGCCCCCCTCATACTTCAAGGCAAATAACTTTGTTGTTTTGTACCTTCAGAAGTTGTTCGCTTCAACTCTTTTTTTCACTTCGATGCTCCTTCAGCTGCTGATGCTGCTGCTGTTCACTTATAATTGAGAGTAAAATACACACAGTAATAACAGGCAACAAAGTAATTATAAACATTTATTATTAACTTTTAATCAACCTTAGAAAAAAGCATTAACTCAAAAAGAATAAGGAGAAAAAAAATCAAATAATAATGAACTCTGTAGAAAAAAAAAACATAATCTTGAAACCGGATCCTCATGCTGCCCTGTTCTTTGCTTAGAGTTTCGGTTTCACTTTTTTGATTTATTCTTTGCTTCCTATTTTCAAATTTACTTTCTTTCCTTTCCTTTCTTCTTCTTTGACAAATTACAATAAAGTTGAATTCCTCTTTCTTTTTTTTAATAAAACATATTTAATAAACTCAATTATAACAAATTTAGTTGTGTGTTGGTTTTTTTCTCAAATCAGGGTCACTTTTTGTGTCCGCACAGACAGTAATTGTCATAAAAAGATTAGGATTTTCTTTGAGAAATGTGCCAGACATTACAAATTAGGGGACAATAAAAGAAAGTTTTATGGTGAGTATGGAAGGGAAGGATTTGGTCTTTAAATGAGGGAGGTAAGTATTATGTTTTCCTAAAAAAATAATGTTTTTAAACAGTAGCATTTCCATCAAAACATTTTTTGCTGAAGTTGCACTAAACTACTTTGCGCCTAAAAGTATGCTTTGAAATTTACTCAACAAGACATGTTTTTGAGAAATAGCCGGTAACACTGGCAATTACATGAAAATAGCGCCATCTATTGAAACGCATGATCGAAAAAGGCAAAATATTTTTATAATTTACAAAATTTGACAATTTATTTACAGTGGGCCCAGTTAATACCTATTTTTTTTAAATTGTACAAAATAAATAATTTTCTGAATTTTTCGAACTTTTCTGAAAGAAAATAAAAAAAGAAGAATTAATATTAGCAGACAGAATCGTTAGTTACACTTGCGGCACAGGAATAAGAGTAGATTGAGCTAAAAAAAATGGCAAATGATGTACAAGTACTCTATTTAATTGCGGGAGCCCTAAAATATGAACATTTGTAATTGGTCTCATATAATACTTTACATTTCTATAATTTTTTCACCCTTTTCACCGAATTCGAAATAAATGGTGTAAACTTTGGAATTGCTCCTATCGTTTCGGGTTTTTAAAGTCGAAAACCTAAGAGCCAAAATGCTTGTATTTATAGAAGTGTAGGTCGAAAAAACAAACATATTTGAACATTGAAGTTTGTTGAAGTTGTTTGCCCTTCAAAATACGGTTCAAAAATAAATTAAATTGTGTGAAACAGACTTCAGAGTTATCCAAATTTTACTATTTTTATTCTCTTCAGAATAAGGTACCTTAAAATATTCACCACTTTAAAATCCTGAGACGATTTAATGATTCATTTTTAAGCCAACATCGAGTCCATATTTTGGAGCTTAGAATTTTTTTATTAAAAATGGATAATAACATCTCCTGATTTTCGGCATTCTAAAATTTTAGCTAGAATTTCTAGCCGAATCTACTGTAATTTCACATTCACAAGGCACGTTTCTTCTCATAAAATATGATCAGTATATCCCTCAATAACGATACCTCTGAATTTTAATCGGGAGTTATAAGTGCATTTTCTATATAAATTGGTTGTAAATTGATGATTGCGGTGTTAGACGTATCCGTAATTTGCCATTTGAGGTACTCACACGATTGGAACTTAGCACACATTATAAGATCACTATTTCATACATCATTCATAAAATGGTGCCTGTTAATTAACGAAATTTAGGAAGATCCGGTTACAGTTTCCAAGCACTTTGGTTATAATCTGGCATTTGGGTGGGTAGAACCTGCCTCTTTAAAAAGTTTTATATAACCGAACGTTTAAATATAAGCCCTATGAAGCTGTACCAGGAAATTTCATATGTTTTGAATGTCTTACCCATGTAATGATACCTTAAGTTTCCACACATATTAAATAAAAATGTAATCAAAATTAATAAAAATCTCGAAATATATAAAAAAATTGTCAAGTATTTTATACAATTTTTTAAATTAATTTTTTTATAAAACATTTTTAAATTTCTTTATAAAAAATTTTAATTTTTTTATAAGTTTTTTTTTTAATTTTTTTAATAAAAAAATTTAAAATTTTTGAAAATCGCGAAATTTTTATAAAATTTTTTTAAAATTTTTAGAAAAATTCTGGAAATTTTTATAAAAATTTTAGAACATTTTGAAATGATCATGGGGTTTAAAAAGGCCTACGGGGCTCACAAAAACATAGCGAACTTTCACTAACTTTCAATTATAGCTTTTTTAACTAACAAACCGCGAATGTGCTGTTTGTTGCACAAAAACATAAGTAAACGATTTTTTATTTTCGATCCGGTATATGTCCTGCAAATCGTTACTGCGGTACCAATTTCTAAACTAAATGGGGCAATTACTTACACTCTACCTTAAAAACCTTTTGTATAACCAAAGAATGTTCCATTTGTCTAAGGTAGGTTTATTATATCACAAAATTTAAATTTGCAATAAATCAATTGTTTTTTTTTTATTAAATTATTTTTAAAAAATTTATAACCGTCAATAATGTAATTACACGTAGATCGAAAAGAAGCCTCTAATATGTGCAATATCTTGAAGATTTATAAAAACTACCTCGCCATAGCCATGTTCCACTTTAACAACCTATGAAAATGTACAAAATCGAATCAAATTTTGCGTCTTTCGATCATGTATTTCAATAGATGGCCCTATCCGCATGTCTTTGCCAGTGTTGTCGCTCTTTAAAGATATATATCTCTCTTGAACCTTATTTCAAAGCATACTTTATGGCGCAAACAAAATGCCTTGGACAACGTGGATTTAAAGAAAAATAAATGTTTATTATTTGTATATTTTGGAATATTTTTAATACATTTTTAATATTTGAAATTTTATTGCAGAGATCATCAGGCGCCAAATAAGCTTCACTTTTCCTGCCCTGTAATAAAAAGAAAACAAATATTAATAAAATGTAATACAAAGTTATTAATTTTATAAAACAATATTTGATGATAAATTTATTACAATAGATTTTAATAAGATTTATAATAGTTCTGCACCTCAAACTTGGTCTGTGCCAGATCCTGCTAGGATCGTCTCGTTTTGAAATTTGTATACCCTACACCACAAGGTGGTCAGGGTATTATGTCTTTGTTCATTTGTTTGTAACAGGCAAAAGGAAACGAGATAGACCCATAGTTCCTTTTGATGATCTGCATAGAATCACATTCTGAGTCGATTTATGCATGTCCGCCCGTCCGTATGTCCATGTATTTTTGTAAACAAAGTACGGTTCGCATTTATTGTCCTATCCAGATGAAATTTTGCACAAATCATTGGTTTGGCCCAAGGACGAACCCTATTGAAATTGTAGATAATTGGTCAAAATTTAGATGTAGCTCCCATATATATCTTCGTCCGATTTCCCTTTTTTGTGCACCAAACGTGTAATATCAGTCCGAATAGCATGGAATTACGATCAGATTGGACTTGAAAATAAGTACGCCAAATTTGATCGAAATCGGCTAAGATATAGCCATAGCTTCCATATATATTGTTCATCCGATTTGTTATTTTTGTCCTCCGCAGCCGTAATATGCACTCTGTAACAATAATATTTGGGGAAATATATCAAATATAGCTCAGAAATACATTTGCTAAATTTTATTGAGATCGGTTCAGATTTGGATATAGCTCCCATATATAACTTCGTCCGATTTACCTTTTATTGTGCACCAAACGTCTAATATTTGTCCAAATGGGATGGAATTTGGCACTTACGACCGAATATGAAGAAGCTAGTATGTAAAATTTGGTGAAGATCGGTTCAGATATAGCTATAGCTCCCATATATACTGTTCATCCGATTTGTTATATTTGTTACCCACAGCCGTAATATGCACTCCGTAACAACGATATTCAGGGAAATATATCAAATACAGCTCAGAAATATCTTTGCCAAATATTATCGAGATCGGTCCCGATTTGGATATAGCTCCCATATATATTTTTATCCAATTTTAAATTATTTGTGCACCAAATGGGCAACACATGTCCGAATTTAAAAGATAGAAATGCTTCGGCATATTTAGTCCTTTGAACTTTAAATTACAATTATAATCATAGCGTGTATGATTGAATTGTCCCATAAAAACTTTTAATTGTTATGCGGAGATCTACTAAATTAGCAAAGTGGTGTAGGGTATCATAAAGTCGACTTTCTTTACCGGATTAAATTTTATAAAGGGAAAATCTGTTATAGTGTTGAAAATTTGTACATTTTTGTAGTACTGGAAGAGGAAGTAGTCAATAATGTCCAAGCCTGGCACGTCACAATATTTATATCGTATTTACTTAGGTCCGATAAGAAATGGATAATATTGGTCTATTCCTTAGGGACCTGCTCCTTAGAGGGTCAACAATTTGAATAATCATAATAGAAGTCAAAATATATTTAAATCATCGAACATTGGCTGAAGGTATGCATATGACGGCCAAACCGGCTGATACTTTTTAACTCGCTTTTAAAGTGTTTAACATTTTTATAAAAATAATTTTGTTATCAACAAAAATTCGTAATAAAATCGCAATATTTAAGAAAAAACATAAGTTGGACCTTGCCCTTAAATTATTTAATATTTTTTTTTATGAAATCAAAATTTGAAGGAACACCAAAGATGATAACTGCCTATTAGAAATTTACATAATTTAGTTTATTTCAATATTTTATATTAGAGAAGATCACGTTTTAAATTATCCTAAATTGGATCACTCCTTCTGACATTTTCCCCAAAAAGGTAGAGTCCGTAGTATTTCAACAAACTTATCGGTCTATGCCATCTAGCAACCTGCGTAGATGAGGATAAACCTTTTATTGTAAAAAATTGTCAACATATCGCCTACTAAGCCATTAAAATACTCAATCCTTTTGTCTGCCGCCCACATCGTTTGCCAAAATGTTTTCCGATATCCCTTTTCCCTCCCTTGACCACAGATACCGCTTAACACTTTACAAAATCTAAACCCCAATAATTTACTTAGTCTCCCTCTCCCTCCGTCTCATAATTAAGTCATACAACAACAATTATGGTATTGTAGCCAGCCATCAAGCAACGCCTACTAGGAACCTGTTCAAATTTTGCACCAGTCACACAAGAAAAACCGCACTCACTTTGCCAAAGTCAACAATTACTTGTCAAGTTGGGTAAATCTTTAAAATAAACACTTTGCCTCAACCCGCTTGGGCGCCACCTCCCACCCCATGCGACCCGGCCGACAATGAATTGATGTTTGTTGAGTGCCCGTAATTATCCATTTTAAATTTAACAAGCCCCCAAGAGAGGAAGCA